ACCCAGATGGAGTTCCTGCCAACTGGCTTAGGCAGCTGAGGCTATCACAGGCAGCTGAGGTGTGAACAAGTGGATGGATGGAAGACTCTTTCCTTCTCTCCCTTCCCTCTATCTGCCTTTCAAGTAGATCAAAATATACAAACATTTTTTAAAAAGAAAGAAAGGCCAACAACATGGAGTTCTAAGGTTGAACTTCCCTATATCTTGGTCTGGTGGCCAGGTATACCACAGTTTCTTTGGGCTATCATTTAACTGAGCAGAAAAAGTTTATATATTTTATGAATATTATCTACTTTAGTAAATTATATAAATAAATAAATATACTTGAAGACAGCCAAGTCAGCCAGGGACAGCTACTGAAGCCTCAGAAAGCTTCGGACCAACCACGATATGCGTCTTTGCACAGCCTGCCTCCAAGTACAGCAGCCTCCAAGTCTGATCATGGACTTGCCCTTGGCCACTTTACATCGTGGTTGTCACAGTTCTTGTTCTGGATACCCCACCATTACTATCCCCATCTGTATGTTATCATTGCAACAGAAAAGCTATCATAGAATCAGCTCCATTCCCCCTGGAACCTCTGATGGCGACAAGTCTGGAGGCAGGACAGGAGAGGGGCACCTGCCCCAGATGGCCCCCAGGGAGTCGGGCAACTGGACAGAACTCCTTTCAAAACAGTCAGTTACTGCCTTCTATTCTGTAAGTGAACAGACCTTAGCTGGAGGGTGACCTCCCCTCAATGTGCTGGCAGAGTTACTGGCAGCAAGAGGAGCGTTCTGAAAGAGTCCTGCAAGCTAGGGGTCGGAGCTGTGGCACAATGGCATTCCACAGGGTGCTGGTTGGAGTCCCAGCTGCTCCACTTCCAATCCAGCTCCCTGATAATGCACCTGGAAAAGCAGCAGAAGATGGCCCACGTGCAAGGGCCCCTGCACCCACATGCAAGATGCTGAAGAAGCGCCTGGCTCCTGGCTTGCCTGGGCAGAGCCCTAGCTGTTGCAGCCATCTAGGGAGTGAACCAGCAGAGACCTCTCTTTCTTTTTCATTCTCCTTCTCTCTCTGTCACTCTGCCTTCCAAATAAATAAAAATCTTAAAAAAAAAAAAGAGGGAGCAGGCTAAGAGGACAGAAGAGAATGTGAGAGCTCAAGCAGAGGGAGCAGCTTGGGCACAGAGGGTGGCTCGAGGAGCAATTTAGATGATGAAGTGATGGGCGCAAAAGGCAAGAGGAAACTCAGAGGAGAGGGCCATCCATCACAGCCAAGCGCATCTTCTGACAAGGGGGAGGCCTCCTGCTTCCAGATGCAACATCACAGCGTAATGTGCCCACTGGGGTTTGGTATGGCAGGTTTCCCTGCAGCTTTGGCTTCACTCGGTTAACTAATTATGAGAAAATGTGACATTGGTATTTACTTTTCCTACAGGGACAAATCATTCCCAGCAGGAGGGAGAAAGCGGTTATTTTTGTTCTGTTTTGCTTTGTCATTAAAAAGAAATTACTTACGCAGTAGTAAATACGCTCTTGTTAAAAGGGGAAAATCTGATTTTCCTCAATAATCTTACCAATTTTCCTTAATGCTGACAATCAAGTGTTTGGTTTTCCAGGGATGAAGTGGATGACAGAGCAAGAGTTTGGGTATTAGAACTGGGTTGAAAATTAACTCTGCCACGTGCTACGTATGTGACCTTAGGCAAGCTGCTTCCCCAGGTGTAACAAGGGATGACACATCCACTGTGGAGGGCTTTTTGCTAAAGACAAAACGAAATCATGTAGTTGGGATACTTCATCGCAGTGTCTCTGCATTAGTGCTCAGTAACATTTAGTCTTTGTTGTTAATGACCTTGATACTCTACCATATAAACAGGAGCAGCCACTCCTGCCTTGTCTCGCCCGGTCTGTGTGAGCTCACCGCTAACCGTGCACTGAGCCCTGACTTGGGCCCTAGGAGCTATACTGCCTATGAAACATGTCTCTCCTCTCACCCTGATATAAAACAGGTTTCTGACGAAAATCTAATGACAATGCTGAAAGAAAAAGTCCCCTCCCCCCTGATCTTTTAACTTTTCAAAGGCAGTATACAATGCCTCACAGACCCCCTTGGCAAATCTGTGTTTCCTCTTCCTTGCCAGAGTGCTAGAGAATATAACATCGTGCTTGAGACACTTCTTGTAAGTTCGGGAGTGATCTCACAGGGACGTCCTGCTTGGACTCACACCGGTCTTATGAGGGACACAAAGTACATACTGTTTTCCCCATTTCACAGACACAGAAAATGAAAGCAAGAATAAGAGAGGAACACGACCATACCAGTGTATGCCAGCACTTCATGATAGAGCATCTGTGAGAATGCAAAATGCCACGGTCATTGGACTTTGCAAATTGCATTTTGCTCAGAACAGCTTCTTGGGAGATGTTTTGGAGACAGCCAGAGTGATCAGCGATCACAAAGGGAAGCAGGATGATTGGTGGAAAGTGAACAAAACAGAAAATCAGCAGGCACAGAATTCAGTATTGCAATTTCACAATCCATTTTCCCCCTGTGCCCTGAATTTTCCAGCCATAAATTTGAGAAAGAAACAAATGCTACAAGTGTGTTACAATGTCATCACTGTGTGTGAAACACTATGTAGCACTGATGGTGTGGCATGCGAGACATTTCATTGACCAAGGCAAATACAAACTTTAAGAAATGTGGAAACATAAGGAAATAGAAAAAGATAACAATATTTTTCAAGTACCTATGAACCAGAAGATGAAGAACTAGATAAGATTAGTTAAATCAGCATTCCAATTTTACACTACATGTTTGAACTATTTTTGGAAGTTACAGAATCAAACTAAGAGACATGGGCATGTAACACATAATTTGGACAACATTTCTTCAACTCATTACATGGAACAGGTCTTAAAATAATAAATTCTGAAGTGCTCTTAAAACAGATTGGGGCCTTCTGGCAGCAGTCACCTCTCAGGATTTCAAAGGACCCTGACATATGCTCACTGGTGTCTCTGGACCGGGTCAGAGGTCCTAGGAGCCGATCAAGTTGCCTTTTAGAGCCCCTACCCCACCTTTTTAATGGAAAAGTTCTTCCAGAAAGGAAGGCAAAACATCAAAAGCTATTAAGGGCAAACAGTTCAAAACAGAAACCAAACACAAGCTTCTACTTTACTATGAGACTGTCAACTGCCTAATTCCGACTTAATGGAACATAATTCTCCATACGATTCTTCCTAGAACACAATACAATCATTCCAAAATTGGGACAAGGTTCACATGTGACACAAGAAAGTTAGTCTACCAGTTCTCCATTTCCTTAAGTTATTCATTTAATAAACATTTTTTGAATGTTTGCTGTTGTTTACCAGTTATATTAACAGTTTAGTAGGAGAATCACAGAAATGAAGCTTCAAAGTTCTGTGTTATGCCCTAGAATGTAGAAAAATATTTGGCATAATAATTGAATCAGAAAGCTCTGAATGAGCTGAGAATGAGGTGAGATGTAGGAAGGGGAAGCTTCCAGCCCCATAGAACAATATGCATAAATGCAGCGTATAATTAACATGGTGAGGCTCTGAAATGCAGTGCCACATGGTTGGGTATAGGTCATGGGGAGGACAGGAGGACAAGATGACAAATAAGCAGTAAAGACAAAGATTCCACTGCTGAGGTTTTTACAGGTCCATGTAAAAATACATTATTGGAAATCTGAGCGCATTGTGAGATTGTTGGAAACATTTTATCTCACAGGCAATAAGAGTAGATTTTACTATATAAAATTAATATTCTAGCTATCTCTTTTTTAAAAAGATTTATTTTATTTATTTGAAAGGCAGAGAGAGAGACAGAGAGAGAGAGAGAGAGAGAGAATCTTCTATCCATTGGTTCACTCTCCCTAATGGCTGCAGTAGTTGGAGCTAGGACAGGCCAGAAGCAGGCACTCCATCTGGGTCTCCCAAGTAGGTAACATGGGCCCATGGACTTGGGCCATTCACCACTGCTTTTCCCAGGTGCATTCGCAGGGAGCTGGATCACAAGTGGTGCTGCTGGGACTCGAACTGGCACTCATAAGGAATGCAAGTGTCACAAGCAGCAGCTTACCTTCTACATCTTGTCAGCCCATTCTCTCTCTTCTTAGAGATTTATCTATTATTTATTTGAAAGGCTGAGGGACACAAACACACACACACACACACACACATACACACATAGACAGAGACAGTGAGAGAGAGAGAGAGAGATCTCCCATTTGCTAGTTTACACTCCAAATGGCTGTACAGCTAGGGCTGTGCCAGGTCACAGCCAGGAGCCAGAACTTGATTTAGATCTCCTATGTGGGTGGAACATACCCAAGTGCTTGGCCACCATCTACTGCTTCCGGGAGTGTGTGTTAGTAGAAAGCCAGATCAAAATCAGAGGCAGGACTTGAGCACAGACATTCTAATATGCAATGAGAGTATTCCGAGTAGTGGTTTAATCTGCCTGTGTCACAAAGCCCACCCCAATAGCTATCTCTTAAATGAAAATAACTTACATCAACTGTGTAAGGACTAATGCCACTTATAATTAGCTTCACTTCAAAGTTAGAATAGTCTTTGTAATCAGATACCTAGGGACATGGTCCCAATGTCCAATCTGAAAGGAATTTTGGGAATTTCTACAATAAATCTCAATTTTAAAGATGGAAATCTGACTCAGAGAGGTTATCCAATTGCCCTAAAGTCAACAAAGTTTCCAGTGATGAGAAAGAAGTCAGGCAGAATACATTAGTTTTCATAGTATTTGTTAATAAAATAGCTCTAATAGATTTAAAAATAATAGAAGATATCAAATTTGGTCAGGGTTTATTTAGTTTTTAAAAGTGCTTGGCATTTCACAGTCAAAAAATATAAGGCCAACATCTTAGAAATACTTTCTTAATTATTTTTTCTCTCTGATAATGAAATACAAAGCCCAGGGCTGAACTCTTAATCCTATATATTGGAATAAATAAGACAAATTCTTACCATGATCTTCTGAAGAGACTGGTGACCTAAAAAGAGACATAATAAGCATGATAAATATTTCATATGTGATAATTATTCTATGAAGAATTTCATAGAAGTATTCCCACAAAATAAAGGTAAATATAACTCAATATAAGTAGACAATGCAATTAATGTGTTGGTTGCATGGTATAATCCAATCAACTGCCCCCAAACTTTGCTTGGATGGTTGAGTTTTAGAAGTTTCTAAAATCACAATCCATGCATGATATTAACATTTAATTAAATTTGGATTTGTCACCAAAAACAGAGAGAGAACTCATAGAACTCATGGATGCCAACTATGCTGTCGCCTAGTACCCAAGGCTAGAGAAAATGCTAGCAGTATAAGCATGGAGTGTCTGTACATTAAAGGAGATCTACTTCCACAGTAAAAACGACACAGAAGTAAAAGAAATAGCACACATTCTCACTGTATTTTTACTTTGCTCCATGACATACAACGTTTGAGTAAGCATAATACAAAACCTCTGGGTGCCGGTCTTGTGTCTCTAAACCCTGGAGGTACCAGAGTCAGGCAAGAGGGAAGCCACTGGGGGTCCCCTGAACATTCATAAACCGGTGACTCCTGATCCCATGTGTGGATTCAGCTGTAAATATGGTAGTCAGATACCAAATGGAACATTCTAGCAACCACAAAAACCACTTTTCCTTCAGTTGGCTACTAAATGAAATACTTTGAGCAACACAGATAGCCATAAAGATGAATTCATCTCCAGCTTGAAAGACTACAGTTTTGATTGTCAACTTACTAGTGTTTAAACACTAGCATATTCCAGAGCCTTTCAGAAAGTCGTCATGTTACCTTCTAACGACCTTCAAGGCAAGTTTTCCTGCTCTAGGCCAGCTGTGAGGTCGGCTGAAGACGAAGGAATGGACCTGACACCCCAGACTGGTTATACTGTGGGCAGTCACACAGCCAAATGAGTCATAGCACTCAGTATCTGAGACACTCACAATCTTCCCTAGTGACAAGGAAAAATGAATGAAGGGTGCGGAATGCAGGGTGAAACAGAATCGGAAGGTGAATCTGAAGAGAAACAAGCAAGGTGAGCTAATTTCTTAACCTGCCTAGGGTATGAAAAAGAGAGAGGGACAAGAAAACACCCTCACCCCTGATGTCTTTGGATAAGAAGTAAGCAAAAACATGTCTAAAACTGGCTATAATTAACTTCTCACAGAACTATTAGGACAAAGAAAAAAAAAACATGCTAATGGACAACCAGCTGTCTCAGGTGGAGGCCTTGTGAAGCGGTGCCTTTGCTGTCTTTCTGCAAAATCACTGCACTAATATGAAATCTGAGAAATTCCAGATGGCTCCACTGAAGTCCCGAGGGGATGCATGCTGCAGTCTGTCCAGCGGTGGAGAAGAACCATCAACTTCAGAGGCTCTGTGAGGATTAGTCATGTTGCATTTCTTCGCTGCACGTCTCTCACATGCCTGGATTTGTGGAGTTGTAAGACATATGGAGTATTTCAGTCCTCACTCAGTATTTCACCTCTCACTGCAACAAGTCACAAAATTACACTACGGAGACATGCACATCATCCATTATTGCTAGAAACGGGCATAAAACGTTCTACAAAACTTGGCTCAGGAGAGAAGAAATATCCTGAAATCAGCAATAGAAGTAGTTATTTTGAGAACAGAGGCTGGATCCCAGGAACAGATACCCTTTCTCAAAGTTGACCACTGAAGTATGGAGAAAAACTCCCTGCATAGTCTTCCCACCACACCAGAAAACCTGGGGTTCTGTCCTGGGTTGTTCATTTTTCTCTCCATGTACACTTGAACATGCAGACAGCAATGCCCCCATCATGTCAACTCTTCCTAGCATTCCCGTAGTTCCATGGCAGCATTCACCCTTTAACTCCTTTCCTGATCACGAGTTTTTTTTATTATGGTCTACAGAGTATTGATGTTTGTGTTTTTTAAATATATTTTGGTATGTATTACATTTTTATTTCATCAAATTTAGCAAAGTGAAAACAAAACAAAGTTTAAAAATGTTTCTCCCATTTCATGAAGCCTGAACAGGTATTATCTATGTTTGAATCTTCAGTTCTTGTTGATTTGAGTACTAAGCCCTGTATTGATTGATGGATATTCAAATAACAATTTCAAGGAATTCATAATGTAGTAAAGAAGAAAAATATCTGAGCAAATGATTACAGTGTATGTGTACACACATCCACACACACATCCACACACACACACGTATATATACAAAAAGATCCCAAAGCACATATGAAATAAAGAGGAAGCATACAGAAGAAAGAGATCCATTCTTCTCTTTTCCAAAAGAACAAGAGCCATCTGAGCTGGCTTTGAAGGATAAATAAAACCTATCAGGGTAGGTAAGAAAGGGGAAGGAGCCAAGGCAGAAGCGGTAGAAATGTGCAAAGGGCATGAGCTCTCACAGGATGTTATCAGACTTACAAGTAACTCGTTATTGCCAAAATGAAAAGGAGTGGTAATAGCCAAGACTAAGGAAGCAAAAAACAGGACCCACATTGAAGTCCTTGCAATTCACAAGGATACTGCAAAAAACATTTGTGGAAAACAAAATTAAAAGGTAAGCTTATTCTAGTACCAAAAACAGTAAATTGAATCTATGAAAATGAGGGATCTTCAGAAAGTTTCTAAAAAATACTCTACATGGATTTCAAAAACCTTTTTGCACACAAACATCATTTAATTCCATTTTTTCAATGAACATCCTGAAGGACCCTCATACCTTCTAAGCTATATGGAGCAATATTTTAAAGCAAAGAAGTCACGTGTTATGATCTGTGCATTTGAAGGAACGTTTCTTGGAGAATGGACTAGGAGAGGGCAAGATGACAAGTTAAAAGGCAAAAAACATGTTAAAGGCAATTTTTTTTTTTTTTTTTTTGACAGGCAGAGTGGACAGTGAGAGAGAGAGACAGAGAGAGAAAGGTCTTCCTTTGCCGCTGGTTCACCCTCCAATGGCCGCCGCTGCAGCCGGCGCACCGCGCTGATCCTGGCAGGAGCCAGGAGCCAGGTGCTTTTCCTGGTCTCCCATGGGGTGCAGGGCCCAAGCACCTGGGCCATCCTCCACTGCACTCCCTGGCCATAGCAGAGAGCTGGCCTGGAAGAGGGGCAACCGGGACAGAATCCGGCGCCCCAACCGGGACTAGAACCCGGTGTGCCGGCGCCGCAAGGTGGAGGATTAGCCTATTGAGCCACGGCGCCGGCTGGCAATTATTTTAAAACTTCCATGCTAATAAGACAGAATACAAATTTCTTTGCTCCTCATTTCTTTTTGAAATCCATGGAAAAACCAGAGAGGGCTAGAAACAGTAAAAGAAACACCATATATGACTACATGAAAGATGTTTAAATCTAAATGATCATACATGAAGAAGTGATGCCAAGCACAGTAAAAACTGGGACAGCATTCAAGGTGACAGAGACAGCACTTTGATGCTGGCTAAAGAGGCAGAGCTGAAAGCCCTCCACCATGAGCCAGAATGTTCTACTCCTTAGAATTAGAATCTGACTCCAGAGGAGTGCTGTAAGACAGGCCTGGGAAGACAACAGACCCAACATCACATTTACAGCAATTCCCTAAACCACTCATCACAATCATCTATACCAAACTACAGTTTCAGAAAGAACACACCCAATGCAAATGCTATGAGGAATCATAAAAGGAAATCAGAACGATGATTTATGTAAAGATGCCACAAGAAGAAGACATAAGGTGGACAGGGTAGACACTAAAAACGATGATAACGTGAAGCAGGTTAAAAACTGTGAATGAATCTCCTTACAACTTAGAAATTAAAAAGGGAGCAAGTGGGGAAGGAAGCATAGCCAATGTGAAGCCTAAACGTAAAGAAGAAACATAACGGTCAAGATACAGTCACAAGACTACAGGGCTGAAAAGAAAACAGCTTTCCCCAGTGTCTAGAAAAAGCTGGATGGCTTTTTTCTCTGTGTCAGCGCTGCACTGAAGAGAAGATTAAGAGGAAGTGATCAATAATTTAAAATACATTAAGATATAAAACTTTGAGAAAGGGCCAGCACTTCGGCCTAGCGGGTAAAGCTACCGTTCGCAGTGCTGGCATCCCAGATGGGTGCCAGTTCTAGTCCTGGCTGCTCCACTTCTAATCCAGCACTCTGCTGTAGCCTGAGCAAGCAGTGGAAGATGGCCCAAGTCCTTGGGCCCCTGCACCCACATGGGAGACCTGGAGGAAACTCCCGGCTCCTGGTTTCAGACTGGCGCAGCTCCGACCTTTTCGACCAGTTGGGGAGTGAACCACCGGATGGAAGACCTCTCTCTCTCTCTTTCTCTCTCTCTTTGCCTCTCCTTCTCTGTGTAACCAGACTTTCAAATAAATAAATAAAACTTAAAAAAACTTTGAGGAAAGAATCTTAAGAAGACACAAATAAACAGAAAGACATCACATGTTCATAGATTGGAAAAATTATTACTGTTAAAGTGCCCATACGAGTCACCATCATAAACAGAATCAACGAAATTCTTATCGAAAAGCAAATAGCATTCTTCACAGAAACAGAAAAATCAATCCCAAAATTCACATGCAACCACAAAAGACCCTGAATAAGCAAGATAAACTTGGGCAGAACGAACAAAGCTGAAGTCTCTGTTGCAGAAACGCCTTCTTTGTTTTGCTTCTCTCTGATCCTGAAGAGATGCAGCTACACAAAGTCTGTGTATGTCCTGTAACTACGGATGGTCAAGCATGTTTGTTTAAATCAAGTAAGCCAAGGGATGATGCAATATGCCTGGAAAGCATTTCTTCCCCAAAGGACGTGCACACCAGGCCTGTGACAGGATTGCAAGGGCTTGAGGGAGAAACGGCAAGATCATGACTCTAAGTGACACCATCATCAGCCTAGTCCCAAAGCATCTCTCATTAGGCAAAATAGAATCTGAAATCTGTCAGCACGGAGAATCTCCATCAACTATAATACTCTCTTTGTGTGCTCTTGCTC